ATCAGTTTTAAGCAGATTAAAAATAAAGAGGAACTATATCTGTAATTCTGAAGTACAAAGTTAATTTGATGACAAAATAAATTGAAAGAAGACAGATACTGTTTTTAAAGCTTTATGTAACAAATATATGGTATTGTAACAAGACTAGAAATATTGCATTTTTAACTATTTATGTATAGAGTTATCAAGAAACCTATTTCTTAAAGTTATTGAAAGAAAATATAGCAATCATTTAGCTGTTCTTGAGAAGCAAATTCTCTGAATTTGAAAAAAAATGCACTAGCATTTAAAACATGTAAGAGTAATTTGCCCCAAAATAAACTTATGGAAACCTTTTCTTTAATGCACATAATGAACTTCTAACATCATCTGAGTGGAATTGAAATTCAATAACAGTGCCTTAAAAGCAAGTCACTCTGGACCTTGGTTCTTTATAGATAAAATATGTAGTTTATTATATGATACAAAAAAGAAAACTAACCTCAGAATTAGCAGATACTTTCCATTTAATAGGACCACAGTACATAACCATGCAAAGGTACATTCTGTTTATTTTTTAAACTAAAAATAGAATTAAACTGAAATGAAGACATTTAAGGAGAAAACCACATGCAAACTCTCTTGAGGAGAAGCTACTTCCTTTAGATAGTCATGAAAGTCATGGCAATATAAAATATCCCAAAGCAGATATCTAATTTATATAAATCAATGGACTATTGGTAAGGTTTAATGCCTGCATCTAATTATTTGGCAGGATTCAGTGGGGATTACATCCTAGTGCACATAAACAGGATTGCATTCAAATGGACTTATTTCTGGACAGATATGGATTAAATTTCCTGAGAAGACTGCAATTTATCTGCAGATCTTCCTGAGACTGAGACTGAATTGAATGCACTTCACAGTAAGCATGCAGAGAAATATAGCAATAACAATAACACTTAGACCTACATACTGCTTCATGTCACTTTACAGTCCTCTCTAAGTAGTTTACAGAGTCAGCATATTGCCCTCAACAATCTGAGTTCTCATTTTACTGACCTCAGAAGGATGGGAGGCTAAGTCAACCTTGAACTGATCAGAATCAAACTCCTGGAGTGAGCAGTGAGTTAGCCTGCAGTACTGTATTCTAACCACTGCGCCATCACAACTCTGTTAATAACTTGTTAAATAGCTTTTGTTCTGATTAACACTGTAAATATTTCTAAATATAGTATTTTCTGGCATGGGAATTAATAGTCCAAATTCCATACTGTTAAAGCTGTATGAACAATGATTTTTTTTCTTAAAAAATTACCTAAATACTAACAACTTTTAAAGGATGGGGGAGCTTACCTTTAACAAAATGGTTCTTGTTTTAACATTTTTTATCTTCAAAAATTCCATACTAGTTATTATAATGCATATGCAGTAATTTGTCTCTAAAGAGATCAAAAATATTTTCTTCCAAAATACCGCAAATGTTA